CCAAGTCATCAGTGTAGTAGTTCCCCGACATTTCTGTCAGGTGACCAAGTCATTAGTTTAGTAATTTCCGGACATTTCTGTCACGTGACCAAGTCATGTGTGTACTAGTTTCAGGATATTTCTGTCACGTGACCAAGTCATCAGTGTAGTAGTTCCCCGACATTTCTGTCAGGTGACCAAGTCATCAGTATAGTAGTACCCCGACATTTCTGCCAGGTGACCAAGTCATCAGTATAGTAGTTTTCGGATATTTCTGTCACGTGACCAAGTCATCAGTGTAGTAGTTCCCCGACATTTCTGTATGTGTGTGTGTGTGTATGTGTGTATGTGTCTGTGTATGTGTATGTGTGTGTCTGTGTGTGTGTGTCTGTGTGTGTGTGTCTGTGTGTGTGTCTGTGTGTGTGTCTGTGTGTGTGTGTCTGTGTGTGTGTCTGTGTGTCTGTGTGTGTGTGTCTGTGTGTGTGTCTGTGTGTGTGTGTGTGTGTCTGTGTGTGTGTCTGTGTGTGTGTCTGTGTGTGTGTCTGCGTGTGTCTGTGTGTGTGTCTGTGTGTGTGTCTTGTGTGTGTGTCTGTGTGTGTGTCTGTGTGTGTGTCTGTGTGTGTGTCTGTGTGTGTGTGTCTGTGTGTGTGTGTCTGTGTGTGTGTCTGTGTGTGTGTCTGTGTGTGTGTATTGTGTGTGTGTTCTGTGTGTGTGTGTCTGTGTGTGTGTCTGTGTGTGTGTCTGTGTGTGTGTGTGTGTGTGTGTGTGTCTGTGTGTGTGTGTCTGTGTGTGTGTGTCTGTGTGTGTCTGTGTGTGTGTCTGTGTGTGTGTCTGTGTGTGTGTCTGTGTGTGTGTCTGTGTGTGTGTCTGTGTGTGTGTTTCTGTGTGTGTGGTGTGTTGTGTGTGTCTGTCTGTGTGTGTGTGTCTGTGTGTGTGTCTGTGTGTGTGTGTCTGTGTGTGTGTCTGTGTTTGTCTGTGTGTGTCTGTGTGTGTCTGTGTGTGTGTCTGTGTGTGTGTCTGTGTGTGTGTCTGTCTGTGTCTGTCTGTCTGTCTGTCTGTCTGTCTGTCTGTCTGTCTGTCTGTCTGTCTGTCTGTCTGTCTGTCTGTCTGTCTGTCTGTCTGTCTGTCTGTCTGTCTGTCTGTCTGTCTGTCTGTATGTCTGTATGTCTGTATGTCTGTGTGTCTGTGTGTCTGTGTGTCTGTCTGTCTGTCTGTCTGTCTGTCTGTCTGTCTGTCTGTCTGTCTGTCTGTCTGTCTGTCTGTGATTAGTTGTCTTCAGGCTTCCGCAACTTTCAAAACCTCTTGGTTGCTTTTTTTTTTTTTTGGCTGTCTATGGTATTTTAAACATTGTTCTATAAAACCACATCTCTGAGGCCTCAAGAAATTGTTTGGCCTGCCTACCGATTGTCCAGTACTCACAACGCGTTGCCTTTAAATATCAGTGCTTACTTGACGAGGCTAACAGTGACTATTGTACAGACCACGTTTTCCACTTTACAATTTCAATCAAAATGTAAACTGCACCTTCACGAATACAGATGGAGGATCAGTCGCACCTCGAGATAAATACAAAGACAATTTTTAAAACCCTGCGGTTGGCATTTTATGCAGTTTGATACACTTTGAGTGTGAAACAAGGATAAAAACTTAATTCGACAGCGGCGAGGAAAGACAATTTAAATTTTAACTTTTAAGTATCTTCATGCCTTCTTTAGTAATGTCACAGAATGTAGCCGACTTTTCTTGATTTTCGCCGCGGCACCCCTGGCATACGCAAACAGTTTGAGAACCTCTGCTGTATTGCTTAGGTCGAGTCAGCAGGCAAAGACTTTGCCAGCTGCTGTACCACGCAACCGGGTCGCACTTTCCCCCGTTACGACAGACTAAGGCTACAGCAACTATTGTGTTAATGAGAGAGCTATTTCAGTCCATCGCAGTGTATACAGAAACGGCTGTAAGGTAACCACTATTCGTATTCGGTCCGACCGCAAGTATTCGGCCGAATACTGAATAGTTATTAAGTCTACTGTTCGGCACCGAAGCAAATACGAAGCGAATACTCGGTACAGCTCTAGTTGTTATTGTATGTTATATGCACGTGTGTTGTTTTTGTATGTTATATTTACGTGTGTTCGTAGGGTGGCCCAGGTGGGGGTTGATTTCATGGGTGACTAAGTGGCCACTTGCTGTACTCACCAAGTCACTAACTGACCACTTGCTCTACTCGCCAGGTCACTACGTGTATGCCTCCTACGAAGACAACCAAGTGAGCGAGTTGCGAACTCTCTACCACCAGTGCCAGAGTCCGTCAGGGCCCCACTGTCGACTGACCTTCAACGCCATCATACACACCCAGGAGACGCTGGTGGTGGGTACGCGGCCTCGCTGTGACCTCTGCTCGGGAAACTCCTCTGTGGTACATTTCATCTGGCAGTTGTTTAACTTCACCAGCAGCCCACACCATCAGGGGTAAGTCTGGGTATGTCTCCTTGTTTACGTCAGGGGTAAGTCTGGGTATGTCTCTTTGTTTACGTCAAAGATAAGTCTGGGTATGTCTCTTTGTTTACGTCAGGAGTAAGTCTGGGTATGTCTCCTTGTTCACGTCAGGGGTAAGTCTGGGTATGTCTCTTTGTTTACGTCAGGAGTAAGTCTGGGTATGTCTCCTTGTTCACGTCAGGGGTAAGTCTGGGTATGTCTCCTTGTTTACGTCAGGGGTAAGTCTGGGTATGTCTCCTTGTTCACGTCAGGGGTAAGTCTGGGTATGTCTCTTTGTTTACGTCAGGGGTAAGTCTGGGTATGTCTCTTTGTTTACGTCAGGGGTAAGTCTGGGTATGTCTCATTGTTTACGTCAGGGGTAAGTCTGGGTATGTCTCCTTGTTTAACTTTACCAGCAGCCCACACCATCAGGGGTAACTCTGGGTATGTCTCCTTTGTTTGACACCAACAGTAGCCCACCACACCTGGGGTAAGGTAGGGTATGTCTCCTGTTTAACACCAACAGTAGCCCACCACACCTGGGGTAAGGTAGGGTATGTCTCCTGTTTAACACCAACAGTAGCCCACCACACCGGGGGTAAGGTAGGGTATGTCTCCTGTTTAACACCAACAGTAGCCCACCACACCTGGGTAAGGTAGGGTATGTCTCCTGTTTAACACCAACAGTAGCCCACCACACCTGGGGTAAGGTAGGGTATGTCTCCTGTTTAACACCAACAGTAGCCCACCACACCTGGGGTAAGGTAGGGTATGTCTCCTGTTTAACACCAACAGTAGCCCACCACACCTGTGGTTAAGGTATGGTATGTCTCCTGTTTAACACAAACAGTAGCCCACCACACCTGGGGTAAGGTAGGGTATGTCTCCTGTTTAACACCAACAGTAGCCCACCACACCTGGGGTAAGGTAGGGTATGTCTCCTGTTTAACACCAACAGTAGCCCACCACACCTGGGGTAAGGTAGGGTATGTCTCCTGTTTAACACCAACAGTAGCCCACCACACCTGGGGTAAGGTAGGGTATGTCTCCTGTTTAACACCAACAGTAGCCCACCACACCTGGGGTAAGGTAGGGTTATGTCTCCTGTTTAACACCAACAGTAGCCCACCACACCTGGGGTAAGGTAGGGTATGTCTCCTGTTTAACACCAACAGTAGCCCACTACACCTGGGGTAAGGTAGGGTATGTCTCCTGTTTAACACCAACAGTAGCCCACCACACCTGGGGTAAGGTATGGTATGTCTCCTGTTTAACACCAACAGTAGCCCACCACACCTGGGGTAAGGTAGGGTATGTCTCCTGTTTAACACCAACAGTAGCCCACTAGATTAGCTGGACTGATGACGACACCACCATGACTCCGAGAACTGACATGCACCGACACCAGTTTGAGGACACCGTTCTGCTCATCAGAAAGATGTTGCCTGAGCCTGTGAGCCAGTCGTAGCCCCAAGTTATTGGCCATTATCGCGCGCTCACGTGCGGAGGAACATTGGCACTAAGCCCCTCAAAACTATACTAGGCTGTGGTCTTATAAAGTGTTAACCTTGTTTTAGTTTGCCAACAATAACAGCATGCTAATATGAAATAACGGAAGCGCCCGTGGTGAGGTGCGTAAACACTCGCCCGCGGATCCGAAGGATGTGGGATCGACCTCATCAGCTTTCGTCGAGTGCTAGCTGCTCTATAAAATTGGGGATCTAGCAGCAAATAGAGAAGCGTGTGAAGACGTGGATGTTGCATGATCGTGAACCTTCAAGAGTGGTACAACACAACGGTACCTGCACAACGGCATCGCTTCACCTGACAGGCCAGACGAACACTCCCACAGACACGCAACACTACCAGTAGGCAGCCCATGTTTACTACAGAGTTGTTGTGTTGCCAGCATCCTCTCAGTTATTTCCAGCACAGAAACAACAGAAGACAAACTGGCGGGGCCAAGACAAACAGAAGACGGGCCGATCGGCAGCCTGTTGATGGGATTCCAGTCTCGTGGCGCGAAAACGATGGGCCAATTATAACAACATTAACGGCAACAGAACAGCTGCTGTAGGTCAACACAGTGGGGATGACATGCTGCTCTTTCATGCTAGAGATTATTGGGGAAAAAAAAGGGGGGGGGGGGGTCCATGTACTCGTGGGGGATTTGGGGCAGGGGGGAGGGGTCCATGTACTCGTGGGGATTAGGTGCAGAGGGGGAGGTGTTCCATGTACTCGTGGGGGATTTGGGGAAGGGGGTGAGGGGTCCATGTACTCGTGGGGGATTTGGGGCAGAGGGGGAGGTGTTCCATGTACTCGTGGGGGATTTGGGGCAGAGGGGGAGGTGTTCCATGTACTCGTGGGGGATTTGGGGAAGGGGGTGAGGGGTCCATGTACTCGTGGGGGATTTGGGGCAGGGGGGAGGGGTCCATGTACTCGTGGGGGATTTGGGGCAGAGGGGGAGGGGTCCATGTACTCGTGGGGGATTTGGGGCAGGGGGGGAAGGGGGTCCACATTCTCATCTACAGTGGGTGAGGGGGTTAATGCTGCATATAGACAGTTGGGAAGGCGGTCGTATCTCCTTGCTCAACGATGAAACCATCTCAGCTTCTTTATTGCGCCAGGTTTGCTCATTATCATCATCATCATCATCACCACCAGGAACCACTTCTGTCGGTAAGCGACGTGGGGAGAAATAATTTGAGATCTAGTGCACATTCGCTGCCACTGGTTATTTTCATGCAGTATAGGCGTACTGTCTTTAATGTTGTCGATCCATTTTTCCGCGACCGTCCTCTTGCTCTTGTAGCTGATCTTCTGAGATGTAGTGCTTGTGATGGTATTTGATCATGCTGCATTTTAACAAGATGGCCAAACCACTTGAATTGCTGTTTCTTGCTACCTGCTGTTATTATTAAATTGTTAGTAGGAGCAGCAGCAGCAGTATTAGTAGTAACACTAGTAGTAGCAGCAGCAGAAGCAGTATTAGTAGTAACACTAGTAGTAGCAGCAGCAGCAGTATTAGTAGTAACACTAGTAGTAGCAGCAGCAGTATTAGTAGTAACACTAGTGTAGTAGTAGCAGCAGCAGCAGTAGTAGTAGTAACAATTGTAGTAGTAGTAGCAGCAGAAGCAGCAGCAGCAGAGCAGCAGCAGCAGCAGCAGCAGTAGTAGTTGTAACAATTGTAGTAGTAGTAGCAGCAGCAGCAACAGCAGCAGTAGTAGTAGTAACAATTGTAGTAGTAGCAGCATCAGAAGCAGCAGCAGCAGCAGTAGTAGTAGTAGTAGTAGTAGTAGTAGTAGTAGTAGTAGTAGTAGTAGTAGTAGTAGTAGTAGTAGTAGTAGTAGTAGTAGTAGTAGTAGTAGTAGTAGCAGTAGTAGTGGTAGTAACACTAGTAGTAGCAGCATTAGTAGTAACAATTTTAGTAGTATCAGCAGCAGCAGCAACAGCAGTAGTAGTAGTATTAGTAGCAGCAGTAGTATAGCAGCAGCAGCAGCAGCAGTAGTAATAGTGGCTGTTGTTGTTTCCTGCCTATCATTCACCACATGGATTTCCCGCACGTTGTTTCCGTTATTGCTGTTGTTGTTGTTGTTGTTTTTGTTCTTGTAGTCATCCTTCTATCAGCGCCTATATCTGAAACAGTGTCCTGCAGATAACCATATGCTGTCAGCGGTCATCGACGTCTGCAAGTGACCAGACGTATGGACCCACTGGCAGGACTGAGAGAACGGACAGGCTTTGGCTACAGATGGGCCAGCCAATTAGAGATCCCTGAGCGGTCAGTAAAAATGAGTCTGTCGGTGCTTCAAGTACTGGCCACAGGGACACAGCGTTGACAGGGGACAGGAGAGAGGGGACACGGGACAGGAGACAGGCCAGCCGTGATAGTTGCCTGGTTGTAGCACTGCTGTACAGATTTGATGGCCCCGGTTCAGTTCTTACTATCAGAGTGGTGATTTATTTTTAGTCGAGGAACTGGGGTTTTTCTCCACATAAACATGCATATATGGAATCGTATTTTTCGACAACCCTCATCTCTCTCTCTCTCTCTCTCTCTCTCTCTCTCTCTCTCTCTCTCTCTCTCTCTCTCTCTCTTTCTCAGGGGAAACAAGAATCTCTGCCTCTCTCAAGCTCTCTAAGAGTCAATTCTCTCTCCTTTCTCTGCTCTCTCTAAGAGGCAAGGAACCAACTCTTTCACTCCCTTAGTTAAACTCACGTCCCTGATCTAAGCCACACACGGTCCACATTTTCTCTGTCTCTTTCATACACACATTCTTTCTCACTCTCTCTCTCACTCACTCTCTCTCACTCACTCTCTCTCACTACTCTCTTACACTCTTTCACACATACCCCCCTTCCTCTCTCTCTCTCTCTCTCTCTCTCTCTCTCTCTCTCTCTCTCTCTTTCTTTCTATCTCACATACACACACAGACATTGTGGTCCCTTGGTTTCATTAGTTGACTGGTATAATGTGGTGCCTTTATTTCAGGTATAATTGTGGTCCCTGGTTTCATTGGTTGGCTGGTATATTGTGGTCCCTGGTTTCATTGGTTGGCTGGTATATTGTGGTCCCTGGTTTCATTGGTTGGCTGGTATAATATGGTGCCTTTATTTCATTGGTTGGCTGGTATAATGTGGTCTCTTGATTTCATTGGTTGGCTGGTATAATGTGGTCCCTTGATTTCATTGGTTGGCTAGTATAATGTGGTCCCTGGTTTCATTGGTTGGCTGGTATAATGTGGTCCCTGGTTTCATTGGTTGGCTGGTATAATATGGTCCCTGGTTTCATTGGTTGGCTGGTATAATGTGGTCCCTGGTTTCATTGGTTGGCTGGTATAATGTGGTCCCTGGTTTCATTGGTTGGCTGGTATAATGTGGTCCCTGGTTTCATTGGTTGGCTGGTATAATGTGGTCCCTGGTTTCATTGGTTGGCTGGTATATTGTGGTCCCTGGTTTCATTGGTTGGCTGGTATAATGTGGTCCCTGGTTTCATTGGTTGGCTGGTATATTGTGGTCCCTGGTTTCATTGGTTGGCTGGTATAATGTGGTCCCTGGTTTCATTGGTTGGCTGGTATAATATGGTCCCTGGTTTCATTGGTTGGCTGGTAAATTATGGTCCCTGGTTTCATTGGTTGGCTGGTATAATGTGGTCCCTGATTTCATTGGTTGGCTGGTATAATGTGGTCCCTGATTTCATTGGTTGGCTGGTATGATGTGGTACCTGGTTTCATTAGTTGGCTGGTATGATGTGGTACCTGGTTTCATTGGTTGGCTGGTATAATGTGTAAGGTCGGCTACTTGTGTCTGGTTTCACAGTTAAACATTCACGCAAGGACGGGATGGAGGGTTGTAGAGTCCACAATCAGGAACAGCTCTAGGTAAGGCTCGGCTGCAAATTTGATACACACCTGTCACAAACCTGTCACACACCTGTCACAAGCCTGTCGTAAATGTCATCTGCCGGGATCACTCGCCTGGGGTGACCGGTTTATGCAATATCCGTCGACGGCTGCAATGGAGCAGCTCAGACTGTTTAGTCCACGCATGAGTAATTCACAGGTAGATGTGTTACAGGTGTTTAAGTCCTCATTTGTTGGGTGCAACCGACCACGAATAACCCGTGTCGGGTTAAATATGAGAAGATCTTTGGTAACATTATATAGCTGATTTCTATTTTCCTACAACAACATGATTATTAACAGGCTGTGTGACAAAATTTACCTCTAACGGGTAATAAGTTGCAGATTTTTCTATTTGGGTCCAACTTTTTGGAGCAAGGAATAACTAACACACAGGATACGCTGGATGACAACAGACAACTATCAATGTCAGAGTTTGCCTTGAGCAAAACGTTTACAGATGTGTATGGCCGAGGTTGCGAAGATCTTCATCACCGTGATCAGGTCTCTCGAGTACTGAATCCTTTGAGGGCAAGTGACAGCAGTAGATGCACCCACCTCTTGGTTTTCGGTGACGTAATGGCGTTGCTTGGCGACTAGGGTCAAAACCGGGTCATCTACCGTAGAATATTTTCTCAGCGGGGACACACAACCGGTAGCTGCTTGCCCTGGGGTTCTGTCTGAAACAATAACAACCACAATGAAATAACAATAACGTCAATGAGAACGATCCGGGCAATGAAATCAAGACATTGAGCTGGCGGCTCGGACACCAGGGCCCGAACCAACATCGATTGATTCCCGAGTCTGGATCACAAACGTCACCCAGGGGAGCTCATTTCAGCAATGACGTCAATTTGCCTCTGTCTCTCTAATAGTGACTGGCTCATTACTTCCCTTTAGCAGACTATACTTTTGGGCTCTTGTAATCCTTTCGGTTGTCCGCTAGGCTGGTGGTGTTTCATTAGAGATTCACTGTACAAGTTGTGGTAAGCTTCGGTTGAAATCTCCAGTCAGGAGCTGATACCAATGTTCAGTCAAGTCGCAGTAGGAATATCATCAACCCTAACCCATGCAGAACTGGCCGTTAACGGCTGCCCACCATAATTATTTGATGGTTAAACGGGTAGCGGATATTTGCACTGCTAGCTTGCCATCCAGATTAAGGAAGTTTTAATGTCAGGGTGGTCAGTTTTTTCCCGGGGGAGTCCAGGAAACACAAGGAAAGGAAGGAGGATCACTCATCGAGTGTTCGCTAGTTGTTGACAACAGTCAGTTGGTGCCATGTTGTGACTACCTCTGGGGAAACTGGTTTTAAATGTGTTTCCGTACCTGGTATTATGAGACACGTCGGTCTTGAGGGACATGTGGGTCTGGTGGGACATGTGGGTCTTGTGGGACATGTCGGTCTTGTGGGACATGTGGGTCTTGTGAGACATGTGGGTCTTGTGAGACATGTGGGTCTTATATGACATGTGGGTCTTGTGGGACTTGTCGGTCTTGTGGGACTTGTGGGACTTGTCAGTCTTGTGGGACATGTGGGTCTTGTGAGACATATGGGTCTTATGGGACATGTGGGTCTTGTGAGACATGTCGGTCTTGTGAGACATGTGGGTCTTGTGGGACATGTGGGACATGTGGGTCTGTGGGACATGTGGGTCTTGTGTGACATGTCGGTCTTGTCAGACATGACGGTCTTGTGGGACATTGGGTCTTATAGGACATGTGGGTCTTGTGAGACATGTCGGTCTTGTGAGACATTTGGGTCTTGTGAGACATGTGGGTCTTGTGAGACATGTGGGTCTTGTGGGACATGTTGGTCTTGTTAGACATGACGGTCTTGTTGGACATGTGGGTCTTGTGAGACATGTGGGTCTTGTGGGACATGTGCGTCTTGTGAGACATGTGGGTCTTGTGAGTCATGTGGGTCTTGTGAGACATGTGGGTCTATGAGACATGTGGGTCTTGTGAGACATGTGGGTCTTATGGGACATGTGGGTCTTATGGGACATGTGGGTCTTGTGAGACATGTCGGTCTTGTGAGACAAGTGGGTCTTGTGGGACATGTGGGTCTGTGGGACATGTGGGTCTTGTGGGACATGTCGGTCTTGTGAGACATGTGGGTCTTGTGGGACATGTTGGTCTTGTCAGCCATGACGGTCTTGTGGGACATTTGGTCTTATAGGACATGTGGGTCTTGTGAGACATGTCGGTCTTGTGTGAGACATTTGGGTCTTGTGAGACATGTCGGTCTTGTGTGAGACATTTGGGTCTTGTGAGACATGTGGGTCTTGTGAGACATGTGGGTCTTATGAGACATGTGGGTCTTGTGAGTCATGTGGGTCTTGTGAGACATGTGGGTCTTGTGAGTCATGTGGGTCTTGTGAGACATGTGGGCCTTATGGGACATGTGGTTCTTGTGAGTCATGTGGGTCTTGTGAGACATGTGGGTCTTGTGAGACATGTGGGTCTTGTGAGACATGTGGGTTTTGTGAGTAATGTGGGTCTTGTGAGACATGTGGGTCTTGTGAGTCATGTGGGTCTTGTGAGTCATGTGGGTCTTGTGAGTCATGTGGGTCTTATGAGACATGTGGGTCTTATGAGACATGTGGGTCTTGTGAGTCATGTGGGTCTTGTGAGACATGTGGGTCTTGTCAGCCATGACGGTCTTGTGGGACATTTGGTCTTATAGGACATGTGGGTCTTGTGAGACATGTCGGTCTTGTGTGAGACATTTGGGTCTTGTGAGACATGTCGGTCTTGTGTGAGACATTTGGGTCTTGTGAGACATGTGGGTCTTGTGAGACATGTGGGTCTTATGAGACATGTGGGTCTTGTGAGTCATGTGGGTCTTGTGAGACATGTGGGTCTTGTGAGTCATGTGGGTCTTGTGAGACATGTGGGCCTTATGGGACATGTGGGTCTTGTGAGTCATGTGGGTCTTGTGAGACATGAGGGTCTTGTGAGACATGTGGGTCTTGTGGGACATGTGGGTCTTGTGAGACATGTGGGTCTTGTGAGACATGTGGGTCTTATATGACATGTGGGTCTTGTGAGTCATGTGGGTCTTGTGAGACATGTGGGTCTTGTGAGTCATGTGGGTCTTGTGAGACATGTGGGCCTTATGGGACATGTGGTTCTTGTGAGTCATGTGGGTCTTGTGAGACATGTCGGTCTTGTGAGACATGTGGGTCTTGTGAGACATGTGGGTTTTGTGAGTAATGTGGGTCTTGTGAGACATGTGGGTCTTGTGAGTCATGTGGGTCTTGTGAGTCATGTGGGTCTTGTGAGTCATGTGGGTCTTATGAGACATGTGGGTCTTATGAGACATGTGGGTCTTGTGAGTCATGTGGGTCTTGTGAGACATGTGGTTCTTGTCAGCCATGACGGTCTTGTGGGACATTTGGTCTTATAGGACATGTGGGTCTTGTGAGACATGTCGGTCTTGTGTGAGACATTTGGGTCTTGTGAGACATGTCGGTCTTGTGTGAGACATTTGGGTCTTGTGAGACATGTGGGTCTTGTGAGACATGTGGGTCTTATGAGACATGTGGGTCTTGTGAGTCATGTGGGTCTTGTGAGACATGTGGGTCTTGTGAGTCATGTGGGTCTTGTGAGACATGTGGGCCTTATGGGACATGTGGGTCTTGTGAGTCATGTGGGTCTTGTGAGACATGTGGGTCTTGTGAGACATGTGGGTCTTGTGAGACATGTGGGTTTTGTGAGTAATGTGGGTCTTGTGAGACATGTGGGTCTTGTGAGTCATGTGGGTCTTGTGAGTCATGTGGGTCTTGTGAGTCATGTGGGTCTTATGAGACATGTGGGTCTTATGAGACATGTGGGTCTTGTGAGTCATGTGGGTCTTGTGAGACATGTGGGTCTTGTGAGTCATGTGGGTCTTGTGAGACATGTGGGTCTTGTGAGTCATGTGGGTCTTGTGAGTCATGTGGGTCTTGTGTGTCATGTGGGTCTTGTGAAACATGTGGGTCTTGTGAGTCATGTAGGTCTGATGAGACATGTGGGTCTATTTAGTCATGTGGGTCTTATGAGACATGTGGGTCTTGTGGGTAAAGTGGGTCTTGCGGGACATGTGGGTCTTGTGAGACATGTTGGTCTTGTAGCACTTGGGGTTGCTGGACAAAGCTCATTTCCGCCACAGCTTTCCTCAACCCCCCCCTCCCCCTCTCCTCCTCCCGTTGTCAAGGACAAACCGCCTAGAATATTTACCATCTTGTTTAGATGTTGGTTAGGCCTGGGTTGTTCTACCAGTAACCACACACACAGATTCACACAACTACACACACATTTTCACACAAGTGTATGGGTTGTTCTACCAGTAACCACACACACACAGAGATTCACACAACTACAAGCACATTTTCACACAAGTGTGTGGGTTGTTCTACCAGTAACTTAATGACTACTTCTCTCATCTCATTTATTTTCTGATTGTAACATACATTGTTTTCCGGGCCTTCAATTCTGGTTGTAACATACATTGTTAAGTCAGAATGTGTAAATGGTTGTGGGAAACCGTATGCGTCGTTGTGTGGAACCATGTGTGTAGTTGTGTGAAACTGTGTGTGTGTGTGTGTGTGTAGTTGTGTGAAAAAGTGTGGTGGTTGTGTAAAACTGTGTGTGTGTGGTTGTTTAAAATTGTGTGTGTGCATGGGTGTGTGAAACCGTGTTTGTGGTTGTGTGAGACCATTTGTGTGCTTGTGTGTGCGTGTGTGTGTGGTTGTGTGAAACTGTGTATGTGTGGTTGTGTGAAACCATGTGTGTGTGTTTGGGTGAAACTGTGGAGTTGTGTGAAACTGTGTGTTTAGTTGTGAGAAACTGTGTGTGTGAAATCGTGTGTGTATATAGTTGTGTGAAACTATGTGTGTGTCGTTAAGTGAAACCGTGTGTGTATATGGTTGTGTGAAACTGTGTGTGTGTTGTTGTGTGAAACTGTGTATTTGTGTGACATAGTGTGTGTGGTTGTGTAAAACTGTGATTGTGTTAAATTGTGTGTGTGGTTGTGTGAAATTGTGTATGTGGTTGTGTGAAAATGTGTGTGTGTGGTTGTGTGAAACTGTGTGTGTGTAGGGTTGTGTGGAACTGTGTGTAAGTTTGTGTGAAACTGTGTGTGTGGTTGTGTAAAACCACGTGTGTAGCTGTGTGAGATTATTTGTGTGGTTGTGTGTGTGGTTGTGTGAAACTGTGTGTGTGGTTGTGTGTGTGATTGGATGAAACTGTGTGTGTGGTTTTTGTAACCGTGTGTGTGTGTGGTTGTGCAAAACTGTGTGTGTGTGAAACTCTGTGCGTGTGGTTTTGTAAAATTGTTTGTGTGGCTGTGTGAAACAGTGTGTGTGTGTGGTTGTGTGAAACTGTGTGCGGATATGTGAAACTATGTGTGTGGTTGTGTGAAACTGTGTGTGTGGTTGTGTGAAACGGTGTGTGTGTGGTGGATGCAACTGTATGTGTGTGGTTGTGTGAATCTGTGTGTGTGGTTGTGTGAAACTGTCTGTGTTTGTGTGAAACAGTGTGTGGTTGTGTGAAACTGTGTGTGTGGGTTGTGTGAAACTGTGTGTGTGGTTGTGCGAAACTGTGTGTCTGGTTGTGTGAAACTGTGTGGTTGTGTGAAACTGTGTGTGGTTGTGTGAAACTGTGTCTGGTTGTGTGAAACTGTGTGTGTGTGTGTGTGGTTGTGTGAAACTGCGTGTGTGAGTGAGTGCGTGGTTGTGTGAAACAACCTATGTAGTATGCAGAAAATCTAAGATCACAGAGACCCTCAGGGAAATTGAAAAGATGAACCAACCAGGCCAGTCAATGGGAGCTGTGACCGCCCAGCTTTATCACGGCTCCACATTGGTCATGATTAAACTCGACAGCGCCGCTTCCAGCACAACCCAGTTCATTTTCTCTGGGAAATTTCATTGGCACTTTCAGGAGACTAGTCTATCTACCCCGACACACACATACACACGCACACTCAGGCACACAGACCGGAGTGTTGTACACAATATGGATATGACAAGTCCCAAGCCAATCAGCTTTGCTCGGTCAGATCCTTTTCTCGTCGCCCTCCTGCTCACTACTCTCTCCTTCCTTCCGTGTTTTACCACCACCATCATCACCTCTACAACCATCACTATCACTACTGATCCTTCTACTGCTTTTACTGTTACTAAAAGAGCGTTTGACCCATTGTGCAGTGGTTAATGCTGGGCTGCTAAATCTGCGCTTTTCGAAACTCCACATAAGATTTAAGAAGATCCCTAGGTCGTTCTTTAAGACACGCTTGTTTTGGCGCACTGGGTCAATTACCCCCGCCCACCCTCACACGGAATCTAGACCTAACACTTGGGACCAACAATAACACGATCCACAGCAAGTACCAAACAAAAACACCAACAACAACAAGATCCACAGCAAGTACCAAACAAAGACACCAACAACAACAAGATCCACAGCCAGTACCAAACAAAGACACCAACAACAACAAGATCCACAGCTAGTACCAAACAAAGACACCAACAACAACAAGATCCACAGCTAGTACCAAACAGTAGATCCACAGCTAAACAAAGACACCAACAACAACAAGATCCACAGCTAGTACCAAACAAAGACACCAACAACAACAAGATCCACAGCCAGTACCAAACAAAGACACCAACAACAACAAGATCCACAGCCAGTACCAAACAAAGACACAAACAACAACAAGATCCACAGCTAGTACCAAACAAAGACACCAACAACAACATGATCCACAGCTAGTACCAAACAAACACACTAACGACAAGATACACAGCTAGTACCAAACAAAGACACCAACAACAACAAGATCTACAGCTAGTACCAAACAAACACACTAACGACAAGATACACAGCCAGTACCAAACAAACACACTAACGACAAGATACACAGCTAGTACCAAACAAACACACTAACGACAAGATCCACAGCTGGTACCAAACAGAGACATGTACAAAACGATCCACAGCCAGTACCAAACAAAGACACCAACAACAACAAGATCCACAGCTAGTACCAAACAAACACACTAACGACAAGATACACAGCCAGTACCAAACAAACACACTAACGACAAGATACACAGCTAGTACCAAACACAAAAACACAACAACAACGACACAGATACCACAGCTGGTACCAAACAGAGACATGTACAAAACGATCCACAGCTAGTACCAAACAAAGACACCAACAACAACAAGATCTACAGCTAGTACCAACAAAGACACCAACAACAACAAGATCTACAGCTAGTACCAAACAAAACAACAACAAACAACAAGACTAACGTACCAAACAAAGATACACAGCACAGCTAGTACCAAACAAAACACACAACAACGACAAGATACACAGCCAGTACCAAACAAAGACACCAACAACAACAAGATCTACAGCTAGTACCAAACAAACACACTAACGACAAGATACACAGCCAGTACCAAACAAAGACACCAACAACAACAAGATCAACAGCTAGTACCAAACAAACAAACTAACGGCAAGATACACAGCTAGTACCAAACAAAGACACCAACAACAACAAGATCCACAGCTAGTACCAAACAAAGACAACAACAACAACAAGATCCACAGCTAGTACCAAACAAAGACACCAACAACAACAAGATACACAGCTAGTACCAAACAAAGACAACAACAACAACAAGATCCACAGCTAGTACCAAACAAAGACGTTAACAACAACAACAAGATCCACAGCTAGTACCAAACAAAGACACCAACAACAACAAGATACACAGCTAGTACCAAAAAAAGACAACAACAACAACAAGATCCACAGCTAGTACCAAACAAAGACAACAACAACAACAAGATCTACAGCTAGTATCAAACGATAGTCAAGCAGCGTGAAGAATATGTGGTCCTGGTGGACTGACCTTCCTCCGATCGCCCTGTCAAGTGTTTCCCCAGAATGCCTGGCAGAGAGTTGGCCGGTGCCCAGTGAAAGGTGCCAGCCATTTCTTGACCAACTGAAACTATGATCTGTATTTGTTGAACTAACGCTGCACAATCTGTTACCTATTTCCAGGTGGACTGTCTACAGCGTCTTGCTGGGCTCTCATCCAATGATCTTTGACATAGAGTTCTTTGCTGCAGTTCCCCAAAAGAATAACTTCGTGGCCTTGGACGACCTTGAACTCACGGACTGTGAGCCCGGTAAGTGAAAGCTTGGCCTCCGTGAGCATGTCACTGGTTAAAGTTCAGTCGATGAGAGATCATCATCATTATCTCAAAACACTGCATGACCCGGGGTCACCGGTGACTTTGACTGTCTTATCAGGTCACTCCACTTTCGACGGTCAGATGCCGCGGACTTCATGGCCGCTTGCTTAAGGCCTGTTCAGTCAGTCAGTTGTGTCTCCAGGTCCCTCCACTTTCGACGGTCAGATGCCGCGGACTTCATGGCCGCTTGCTTAAGGCCTGTTCAGTCAGTCAGTTGTGTCTCCAGGTCACTCCACTTTCGACGGTCAGATGCCGCGGACTTCATGGCCGCTTGCTTAAGGCCTGTTCAGTCAGTCAGTTGTGTCTCCAGGTCCCTCCACTTTCGACGGTTAGATGCCAAGGACTTCATGGTCGCAAGCTTAAGGCCTGTTCAGTCAGTCAGTTGTGTCTCCAGATCGTTCTTGTCCATCTCTTCTCCTCTGCTGAGCCCTTTAGTGTTGTTTTTGAGGGACTGTTAGACGTCTTACTGATGTCTTTTATACTGGGATCCTAGGGTCACGAGATAGAGCCACAGAAGCCATCTGCTCTTACTGATGTCTTTAATACTGGGGTCTTAGGGTCACAAGACAGAGCCACACAAGCCACTGCGTCTTACTGATGTCTTTTATACTGGGATCCTAGGGTCACGAGATAGAGCCACAGAAGCCATCTGCTCTTACTGATGTCTTTTATACTGGGGTCTTAGGGTCACAAGACAGAGCCACACCAGCCATTGGGTCTTACTGATGTCTTTTATGCTGGGATCCTAGGGTCACGAGATAGAGCCACAGAAGCCATCTGCTCTTATTGATGTATTTAATACCGGGATCCTAGGGTCACGAGATAGAAACACAGAAGCACAACAGTCGGTGATGAAGATGGTGGTGGTGGTGATGATGATGATGATGATGATGATGATGGTGATGATGATGATGGTGATGATGATGATAATGGTAATGATGATGGTAGTGGTGATGGTGATGATGATGATGATGATGATGGTAATGATGATGGTGGTGGTGATGATGATGATGATGATGATGATGATGATGATGATGATGATGATGGTGATGATGATGATGATGGTAATGATGATGGTGGTGGTGATGGTGATGATGATGATGATGATGATGGTAATGATGATGGTTGTGGTGATGATGATGGTGGTGGTGATGATGATGGTGGTGGTGATGATGATGATGATGATGATGATGATGGTGATGATGATGATGGTGATGATGATGATGATGGTAATGATGATGGTGGTGGTGGTGGTGATGATGATGATGATGATGATGGTAATGATGATGGTGGTGGTGGTGATGATGATGATGATGATGATGATGATGATGGTGATGATGATGATGGTGATGATGATGATGGTGATGATGATGATGATGATGGTGATGATGATGATGATGGTAATGATGATGGTGGTGGTGATGGTGATGACCGTGATAATGATAATAATGATGACTACAATAATAATGATGCTGAAAGAAGTAAAGACTAAACAAGGCTGTAGACTGTAGGGTATCTTCACATTTCAGCGCAGAAGGAGTGGACACAGTACCCCAAATTTGAGGCCCCCTTTGGAGAGTCAAGGCAATCAATTACCGGCACAATTACAGCCACACGTTACCCCAGGGCTGAGACAAAACTGCCCGCGCCCGAGGTGCAAGACAACCGGACACGTCAACTAGCAATGATTGGAGATATTTTCTTGTTGTTTATAAAACGCCACCCTGTTCTCAAGTGGAACCTCCGGGCGCAGGCAATTATCTCCCTGGAGATCCCGCTGGCCACTGTCCAGCTGATTGTCCAGTTTTTGTCTCTAATGGAGCTCTGCTAGCGGTCTTGCTGCCAGAACTTAATGGACGCAGCTAGAGCCTCTCTACCGCCCATGTAGATATCATCTTTCTTCTTGTGTGCTCTTGCGTGATTGAATCTTTCCTGGGCGACACTTTTTTAACGCTAAATTGATGACATGGCCAGTTGCTGTGTTCTCCTGGTGTGCAGCTGTTTGTTCCCACAATTCATGCTTGCAAATAAAACTATCTATTGTCCTGCTCTTTTCAATCACATTTATGTGGTGAGAGGGCGGGAAGAGGGAGCTTACTGGTCTTGCCATATACTCAAGTGCACGTAGGGGTCTTGCCATATACTCAAGTGCACGTAGGAGTCTTGCCATTTACTAAAGAGAACGTAGGGCTCTTGCGATATACTCAAGTGCACGTAAGCGTCTTGCCATATACTCAAGTGCACGTAGGAAACTTGCCATGTGAGGGAACTTGCCATATTATCAGTGCACATAGGGGTCATGCCATATACTCAAGTGCACGTAGGGAACTTGCCATATTATCAAGTGCACGTAGAGGTGTTGCCATATACTCAAGTGCGCGTAGAGGTGTTGCCATATTATCAAGTGCACGTAGAGGTGTTGCCATATACTCAAGTGCGCGTAGGGTCATGCCATATACTCAAGTGCACGTAGGGGTCTTGATATATGCTCAAATGCACGTAGGGGTCATGCCATATACTCAAGTGCGCGTAGGGTCATCCCATATACTCAAGTGCACGTAGGGTGATGCCATATACTCAAGTGCACGTAGGGTGATGCCATATACTCAAGAGAACGTACGGGTACTGCCATATACTCAAGTGCACGTAGGGTGATGCCATATACTCAAGAGAACGTACGGGTACTGCCATATACTCAAGTGCACGTAGGGAACTTGCCATATACTCAAGGCGACGTAGGGTTCTTGCCATATACTCAAGGCGACGTAGGGGTCTTGCCATATACTCAAGGCGACGTAGGGTTCTTGCCATATACTCAAGGCGACGTAGGGGTCTTGCCATATCCTCAAGGCGACGTAGGGGTCTTGCCATATACTCAAGGCGACGTAGGGTTCTTGCCATATACTCAAGGCGACGTAGGGGTCTTGCCATATACTCAAGGCGACGTAGGGGTCTTGCCATATACTCAAGGCGACGTAGGGGTCTTGCCATATACTCAAGTGCACGTAGGGGTCTTGCCATATCCTCAAGGCGACGTAGGGGTCTTGCCATATCCTCAAGGCGACGTAGGGGTCTTGCCATATACTCAAGGCGACGTAGGGGTCTTGCCATATACTCAAGGCGACGTAGGGGTCTTGCCATATACTCAAGGCGACGTAGGGGTCTTGCCATATACTCAAGGCGACGTAGGGGTCTTGCCATATACTCAAGGCGACGTAGGGGTCTTGCCATATACTCAAGGCGACGTAGGGGTCTTGCCATATACTCAAGGCGACGTAGGGGTCTTGCCATATCCTGACGGGGGCCGCGATCTGAACAAGGTTTGAGGCTACTGCTTTAGGGTCACATGGGTGATTGCAGTGGCCACGCACTGTGCAGATCAGGAATGTGTGGTTGCCAATCGCTACCAGTGGAGACCCCTTTACTAAGTGTCATCCAATTGGTCCTGCATTGGAGTGGACTGACATCTTACACCGAGGCGCTGACATCATTAGCAGGTGGCTTGGTCATGCTAGCTTTCTGTCGACTTAGGGAGCAGCCTAGTGTCTACTCGCTCCAAATATATATCTGAGGGTTGTGAACGCAGGGTCGTCACATCCCTGGGCTAGCAGTCTCAGCGAACAAATGAACTGGTAGCGGATCCATTTGTATTTGACAACAATATGAGCGGTGTACCATGTAAAGAAATTGCTAACTTTTGCCTGGTATAACTGCCGGACGTCTCCAGTGATTTCGGGATAGGGGATTTTGACAGAGGTTGTGTTAACTCGCCACCCTTCAAGTCCTGAGTGAGGTCCAAAGTCAAGTCTCAGGCCACCAGGTCCTAAGTCAATCTAAGCCACAAAGTCCTGAGTCAAGTTCTAAGCCACAAAGTCCTAAGTCAAGTTCTAAGCCGCCACGTCCTAAGTCAAGTTCTAAGCCACCAAGTCCTAAGTCAAGTCCCAAGCCACAAAGTCCTAAGTCAAGTTCCAAGCCACCAAGTCCTATGTCAAGTTCCAAGCCACCAAGTCCTAAGTCAAGTTCAAAGCCACCACGTCCTAAGTCAAGTTCCAAGCCACCAAGTCCTAAGTCAAGTTCCAAGCCACCAAGTCCTAAGTCAAGTTCCAAGCCACCAAGTCCTAAGTCAAGTTCCAAGCCACCAAGTCCTAAGTCAAGTTCCAAGCCACCAAGTCCTAAGTCAAGTTCCAAGCCACCAAGTCCTAAGTCAAGTTCTAAGCCACCACGTCCTAAGTCAAGTTCCAAGCCACCAAGTCCTAAGTCAAGTTCCAAGCCACCAAGTCCTAAGTCAAGTTCCAAGCCACCAAGTCCTAAGTCAAGTTCCAAGCCACCAAGTCCTAAGTCAAGTTCCAAGCCACCAAATCCTAAGTCAAGTTCTAAGCCACCAAGTCCTAAGTCAAGTTCCAAGCCACCAAATCCTAAGTCAAGTTCCAAGCCACCAAGTCCTAAGTCAAGTTCCAAGCCACCAAGTCCTAAGTCAAGTTCCAAGCCAAGTTTCATGTCACCAGGACTGCTTCAAGTCGGGTCCTGAGTCAAACCAATTGATGCATCAAGTCATTTGCAAGTCGTGCAAACAGCAGCGCTATGCGAGTGTGTCGGAAATACTCAACTGGAAATGGCAGAACAAACAACTCACTGAACTATGCACACAAGCGAGAGAAGGCCAATGTGAAAACGTGATCAATCGAAGCAGAATTTATATTCTGTCCTCTTTTATGTGAAAACTGTTCAAATTGTGACGTTGATCACAAACTTGGCTCACAGTGTCTGACCGCGGAAAACGAGTCGAATCGCAAGTCGCTAATTAGGCGGCTTTAGCTGCACTCGAGTCCAAGTGGCGCGACCCGAATTGCGACCACAGGTTTATGAATGCAGTAGAGGCCACACACAAAGTGGACATTTGATTTGTTGGTGGTTTCTAGCATTGTAACAACAACAGAAAGCAGTGGTTACAACGTTACGGCATGCTCCATCAACATCATGCGTTACCTATGTGGCTTTGGGCTGTATATATTTGTTGTCACCAGCCTGTCTGTAGGAACACAGGACGGACTCAGCCTGTCTGTAGGAACACAGGACGGACACAGCCTGTCTGTAGGAACACAGAACGGACATTGCCTGTCTGCAGGAACACAGGACGGACTCAGCCTGTCTGCAGGAACACAGGACGGACTCAGCCTGTCTGCAGGAACACAGGACGGACTCAGCCTGTCTGCAGGAACACAGGACGGACTCAGCCTGTCTGCAGGAACATAGGACGGACTCAGTCTATCTGCAGGAACACAGGAAGGACTCAGTCTGTGTAGGAACACAGGACGAACTCAGTCTATCTGCGGGAACACAGGAAGGACTCAGTCTGTGTAGGAACACAGGACGGACACAGCCTATCTGCAGGAACACAGGAAGGACTCAGTCTGTGTAGAAACACAGGACGGACACAGCCTATCTGCAGGAACACAGGAAGGACTCAGTCTGTGTAGAAACACAGGACGGACACAGCCTACCTGCAGGAACACAGGACGGACTTGTTTATAGAAACACAGCCTAGTGAGTCTCCTAATGGATACATTTCCACCTGCTGTGTGGAGGTCTGGCTTGGGACAGACTGACTGACTTTCTACCCCCACCAGGACATCACACAAGCGATAAACACCCGATGACACAAAGTGTCACCATGTGGACGAGGATCACCGTGGAGAGGTCCCAGAAACCGCGTTCAGACAATTGGCCATATTTATGGCCTGGCTATATTGCGGTCCCTGGCAAGAGCAGGGGGGGGGGGGGGGGGGTGCTTTAAGGACAGGAGCTATGGCTTAAGACAGTGATCGCGGGAATGATTTATAGCACCAGATACACATGGACTACGTGAGGTTCACGTGACAAACCCGGTAGTTGGCATTCCGTACTGGATTACCTTGACCGTTCAGTGTTGAGTGACCTGGGTGTGAGGACAACTGTTGGTGACAGCCGGAAATCTTGAAAAGAAATTTGATGGATAGACGTCATGTGGTCGCCGACCCCAGGTAGACCCTACCTTTGATGGGTTCCTGAAGTTCTCCCACTGGGTCATCAAACAACAGGTTGCTGTAGCAGTTCTAATTATCTGTTATAAAAAGGGCGGCTTTCCTCCGAATAACAGTCCCAAATTATCGAGGACGAAAATTTACCCTCAGGGCCTCAGTCACATGTAAATTGTGGACTTCCGGCGACTAACGCCACCGCCAAGAGTATCTCTTACGCCGCTACGAATTGGGGCTAAACCTAGATGGCTGGGACTCACGAGCAGCAGTTATCGCATCTCCTGCAACTTCCTTCATTTTATTTGCTCATGAGTCCTGTATCTACAGTCACGTGAGGGGGGGCGGGGTGGGGGGGTGTAGCATTCAGACAAACTGGACATATCTACAGTCACGCGGGGGATGTAGCATTCAGACAAACTGGACATATCTACAGTCACGCGGGGGATGTAGCATTCAGACAAACTGGACATATCTACAGTCACGTGGGGGGGGGGGATGTAGCATTCAGACAAACTGGACATATCTACAGTCACGTGGGGGATGTAGCATTCAGACAAACTGGACATATCTACAGTCACGTGGGGATGTAGCATACAGACAAACTGGACATATCTACAGTCACGTGGGGGATGTAGCATTCAGATAAACTGGACATATCGACAGTCACGTGGGGGATGTAGCATTCAGACAAACTGGACATATCTACAGTCACGTAGGGGGTGTAGCATTCAGAGAAACTGGACATATCGACAGTCACGTGGGGATGTAGCATACAGACAAACTGGACATATCTACAGTCACGTGGGGGATGTAGCATTCAGAAAAACTGGACATATCTACAGTCACGTAGGGGGTGTAGCATTCAGACAAACTGGACATATCTACAGTCACGTAGGGGGTGTAGCATTCAGAGAAACTGGACATATCGACAGTCACGTGGGGATGTAGCATACAGATAAACTGGACATATCTACAGTCACGTGGGGATGTAGCATACAGACAAACTGGACATATCTACAGTCACGTGGGGATGTAGCATTCAGAAAAACTGGACATATCTACAGTCACGTGGAGGGGGGGGATGTAGCATTCAGACAAAATGGACATATCTGCAGTCACGTGGGGGATGTAGCATTCAGACAAATTTCTCGTGTCTTCCACAGAACCCGAGCAGAGCCCGATGTGCCCGGCTGAGGTCAACTTCCAGTGTAGCGGTCTGCACGAGTGTCTGTCACGTGACCAGCTGTGTGACCTTCAGGACGATTGTTTGTGTCGGGAGGATGAGACCCTGTGTGGTGAGTGCCGTGCTGACCTCTCTGTTGCCCTCTACCAGTTCCTTTCTGTACCTCTTCATAATCTCTCCCTATTCCCTGCTTTTGTCTCCCTCATCATACCGGAGCCTCTCCTTTCTCCGTCCTATCACTGCTTTTGTCTCTCTCAATATACCTAAGCCTCTCCTCTCTCCCTTTTCCTATCATTGCTTTTGTCTCGCCTGGCTCAGACGGAGCCTCTCTCTCATCGGCGATCTATGTCCCTCCAGGTCTGTTCTCTCTTCGTTCGATCCTTCTTTCACTATCTCTTAGTCTCGCTTTTCCTCTCTCCATATTTCATCCTATATCGCAGTCTATGTTCTTCTGCATATTTCACACACTCTTCCCCACTCTCTTCCCCACTGCCACACTGGCCCCACCCTGCGTCTTCCCCACGCGCGTGCCCCACTCTCTGCCCCACTCTCCCTTCCCCACACACCCAGCCCCACCTCCCACCTCCAACCCCTCTTCCCACTCACTCCCCCCACACTCTTCCCACACTAACTTCCCCACACTCTCTCCCACCTCCGCGCTTCCCCTCTTCCCACTCTCCCCCCACACTCCTCCCCTCTCACACACCTCTCCCAACGTCTCCCCCACTCTCTTCCCCACACTCTTCCCCACACTCCCTCCCCCCCCACTCTCTCCCCATCCCTCCCTCTTCCCCCCCTCCTCTTCCCCACTCTCTTCCCCCACACTCTTCCCACTCTCTTCCCCACTCTCCCCCCTCTTCCCACACTCTTTCCCACACTCTCTTCCCCACTCTCCTGCCCACCCCTCTTCCCCACCACTCCCCCCCCCTCTCTCTTCCCCACACTCTTCCCCACTCTCTTCCCCACACTCTTCCCCACACTCTTCCCCACTCTCTTCCCCACTCTCTTCCCCACTCTCTTCCCCACTCTCTTCCCCACACTCTTCCCCACTCTCTTCCCCACTCTCTTCCCCACTCTCTTACCCACACTCTTCCCCACTCTCTTCCCCACTCTCTTCCCCACACTCTTCCCCACACTTTTTCCTCTACCCTTTTCCCTTTGCTTACCTCTTTCTCCCAGTTGCCGTCAGTTATGATCACTATGGTTTTATTTACTAGTTTTTTTTTCGTCTATTATCATGTTATAGTTGTTAATGGGTTATCTGTTCATGGGTTAGTCGTGGGTCGGTTAGTTGTGCATGGGTTAGTCGTGGGTCGGTTAGTTGTGCATGGGTTAGTCGTGGGTCGGTTAGTTGTCCATGGGTTAGTCGTGGGTCGGTTAGTTGTGCATGGGTTAGTCGTGGGTCGGTTATTTGTGCATGGGTTAGTCGTGGGTCGGTTACTTGTGCATGGGTTAATCGTATGTCGGTTAGTTGTGCATGGGTTAGTCGTGGGTCGGTTAGTTGTGCATGGGTTAGTCGTGGGTCGGTTAGTTGTGCATGGGTTAGTCGTGGGTCGGATAGTTGTGCATGGGTTAGTCGTGGGTCAGTTAGTTGTGCATGGGTTAGTCGTGGGTCGGTTAGTTGTGCATGGGTTAATCGTATGTCGGTTAGTTGTACATGAGTTAATCGTATGTCGGTTAGTTGTACATGGGTTAATCGTATGTCAGTTAGTTGTACATGAGTTAATCGTATGTCGGTTAGTTGTACATGAGTTAATCGTATGTCGGTTAGTTGTACATGGGTAAATCGTATGTCGGTTAGTTGTGCATGAGTTAATCGTATGTCGGTTAGTTGTACATGGGTAAATCGTGTGTCGGTTAGTTGTCCATGGGTAAATCGTATGTCGGTTAGTTGTGCATGGGTTAATCGTATGTCGGTTAGTTGTACATGGGTTAATCGTATGTCGGTTAGTTGTGCATACGTTAATCGTATGTCGGTTAGTTGTTGTATTAGTCGAGCGTGGATTGGCTGCTAAACTTGTTATATTCTTTAAATCACTTCTTGCTGAAACTGATTTGCCAAAACTAGCCTTATCCACCAACGAATTCTACGCCAACAATTCCATTGATGTTGTATGTCAGTTTGT